ATATTGCATTGGTAGCATCCTCAGCGGGACCATCCCCCCGAGGCTGCACCTTTGGCTTGGTCTGGCTGACAATGCTACTGATGCGCTGGCCCAAATCTGGCTCCATTACCATCAAGGTATACTATTACCAAGCTGACCGTCTTGCCCCATTCAAGCAGGTTGACGTCGTCGATCCACCCGGTCGCCATGGTCGAGGCGGAGCGGCACGAGCGGAGGAGGTTGGCGTTGTACGTGAGGAAGAGCGCGGGGGACAAGGGTGAGCCCTGCGGCAGTCCACTCCTCCACTCGACGGGCTCCCTGCTGACCCCCTTGAGGACGAGCGTGCAGGTGCGACCCGACATGAACGACTCGACCCACAACCGTGCCGCAGCAGGTACGCCCCCCTTCCTCAGGTTGTCGAGGAGGACGTCGGTGCGCACCAACGGGAACGCCTTGGCGACGTTGAGCGCGACGCCGACGACAACGTTGCCGTGCCGTTGCTGACGGCAAATCTTGTCGACGAAACAGGTCACGGCGTCCTCGGCCGACCTGCCGCGACGGCCGCCGACGTGCTCGACCGGCCACAAGCCGTGCTCGCCCATGTACGCGAGCCGGCGCGCGACGACGGCCTTGAAGGGCTTCGAGACGCACCGCCCAAAGGCAATGAGCCGGTACGCCCTCGTCTTGCCATAATTGGGCTTCTTGGGCTTGCGGAGGACGACGCCGGTGCTGTCGCGCCACGAGGCCGGGAGGTGGCCGAGGGCGAGCGAGGCGGCGTACAGCGGGACGAGGTGCGGCGCGAGGACGTCCCACGCCGTCTGGAGGACAACGTTGGGGATGCCGTCGGGCTCGACCGCGGCATGTGGGCGCGCGTCGAGCAGCACTGACCTCACCTCGTGCTCCTGCAGCGTCGGCCACTTGAACTCGTCGACCTCGACCTCGACCTCAACCTCGACCTCGGCGGCGTCGGTCGGCTCGGCGGCGGCGGCGGGCTTAACCTTGGGCAGGAGGACCGGATGGAGGAGGGTGAGCTTGTCCTGCGGGGAGGTTGCGTGAGTCCCATCCCCTCGTCTCAGCGGAGGAGTTGTCCCTGACGCTCCCCGCCTTCCACCCTCCTCACCGTTGCCCACAACGTCTTGTCCGTCACGCTGTCAAACTCCTCCTTCTTGTGCCGCCTCTTCTCCCTCCTGATCGTCGCCTTCAGCCGGCTCTTGGCCACCGTGGCCTCAAGCGCGGCCGAACTCGCGTTGTCGGTCCCCCTCAGCCGGTACGCCCTCCTGTCCCTCCTTCTCACCTCCTGGTGCAGCGCACTGATCTTGGCGCTCCACCACCCGTGCGCAGGTCGCCCCTCGCGCCTCGGCCGGCTGAGCGGCACTGCGCCCAACTCGATGGCGCCACTCAGCGCCTCGGTGAGTCGGACTGCTTCTGCATCTACGTCCTTGCGCGTCACAAGCGCGGGTGGGGCGTCGCCGAGGCGCGTTGCGAGCTCGTCGCGCAGCATGTCGGCCTGCATGCGGCGGAAGAGGCGTCGCGGTCGGTGCGCGGTCGCCGGCGGTTTGAGGGCGAGGGTGAGGCGGAGCGGCTGGTGGTCGGAGAAGCAGTCGAGATGCTCGTTGACGCCGCAGCTGACCACCCTCGCCTCAACTTGCAGGTCGCCCAGGACGAGGTCGAGCGTCGCCCATCGCTTGGCGTCGCCGACTCGGCGCGGGTACTTGAATGTCGGCGTCGAGGGCGCGAGGAGGTGGACGAGGCCGTGGCGCATAAAGGTGAGCTGCGCTTGTTCCGCATTGTCGCACACGCCTCGACCGAGCGCGTACTCGGGGTCCCACTCCGGGTGGTGCAGGTTGAAGTCGCCCGCGACAACGAGGAGCGAGCCCGCCGGCGTCGACTCGAGGATGAGCGGGAGGACCTCGCGCGCCGCCTTGCCGCGCTCGGCCGGGTCGGGGTCGTGCTGGTTCGGGTTGTACATGCCGATAACCCGTACTGACGCCTCGCCTGTGCGCAGATCCAGCGCGACGACGTCCGAGGACCCGACGACGACTTGTGAGTACGAGGTCTGGTCCCACTTCTGCCGCACGAGCGCGACGGAGCGCGCTCGTCGGCCCGGCGGCGAGTTGAGGGGCACCCAGTCGGACGGCATGTCGACGAGGGGAGGAGGTTCTTGGAGGAGGAGGATGTCGAGGGTGCGGAGGAGGGTGTGGTTGGAGAGGAGGGTCCAAACTTCCGGCGAGCGCCGGAGGTTGTAGGACAGGATGGTGAGGGTGGGGGCCGACATCACTGCGGCGAGGTGGAGCCGAGGAGGTCGATGGGGTCGGCCGAGGTGTCGAGCGCCGAGGTGTCGAGCGCGAGCTGACCATCCCCCTTGCCCGCCTCTGCAGCTCCCTCCTGTTCCTCTCCCTCACTCGACAACTCGACCTCGACCTCGATGTCCATCAGGCGCGTGCCCAACGTCGACATCAACTCGTCGACCTCGTCCGACCAAGACCGGCTGGCGTTGCCGTCGCTGACCTCGACCTCGACTGACACGGCGCCACCGGCTGCCGCCGCCTTGGCACGGCTGCGCTCGCGACGCATGCCCGACGTCGCAGTCGACTCGCTCAGCGAGCGCTCGACCTCGTCGGCCCACGACTCGCTCGCGCCGCCGTCGTCGTCGACCTCGACCTCGACCGGCTCGATCGACTTGGCCAACTTGGCGCCGGCGGCGCTGCCCTTGGCCGCGCTGCACGCCCTCGACCTCGACGATGCGCGATGCGGCCGGGAGGAGGGCTGGGAGGGGAGGAGGTTGTCGAGGAAGGCGCTCGCGGCGGACGGCGAGGCGGCGGGTGCGCGAGTCGGCGTCGGTGCGGGTGCGGGTGCGACGATGCGCGAGGGCGTACATGGTGGTGTTGAGCTTGCAATGCGAGGCGTGCCCGCACTCATGCTGCGAGGTGAGGCTGCGAGCGAGAGGCTGCGAGTCAACTCGAGAGCCGCCGCCGCTGGGGACTTAGCGAGATCCGGCCGACTCGGCGGGTCGAACCTCGCCTTGCCCGGCCTCGCTTGCTTGCAACGCGCCCGCATGCGCCCCACCATGAGCTCCCCTGCACTGCTGCACAGCTCCCTGACCAGCACCGGGTCCCACAGGAGCACCAGCACCGACCCGAGAGCCGCCCTCGCCTCGCCCAGCCACCTTGGCCTCCCCCTCACCACCTCCTCACCCTCGCCTGCGCGCGCCTCGACAGCGCGCACGACCTCCTCAAGGGCGCCCTCGACTCGCGGCACGTAGTGTACCACCACACCGTGCCGTCCGACCGGCGTCGCGACCGAGAGGCCGGCGGCCGAGGCGGTGCAGCGGAGCGCGGCCGCCTCGCGAGCGCTGCCCGCAACCACAAGTGCGTCCCCGCTCCACATGCGCATCGTCGTGCTGCCCACGGGCACCTTGATCGCGCTGACCAGCCGCTCGGGCGTGGTGTTGGCGGCGTTGCGCAGGATCACCGCCTCGGCTCGGTGCGAGAGCGCGGCGGGTGCGGCCGCACACGGCGGCGAGGCGGCCGGCTGGGCGTGCGACGGCGCAGCACGAGGCGCTAAGCGGGCCGCCACAGCGGCGTACGAGCCGCTGGGCGACTTGGCGCACTCGCCGCCGGCGCTCGCCTCCTCGATGGCGAGCGCGGCGAAGCGGTTCGGGCTCGCGACGGCGGCCTCGATCGCGGTGAGGCTGGACATTACGGGGCGCAGGACCGCCTGCCACTGCGCCTCGAGCGCTGGCGGCGCGGCTGTGGCAGGCTGGGGCGCTGGGGCCGTCGGTGGCGGGGGAATCGGGTGGAGGCGGCCGCTCGCGCTCGGCTCACGGGCCTCCTGCGCGGCGGGGGTTGTGGTGGAGGTCGTAGCTGTGCTGTAACGACTCGCTGGCGTCTTGGCGTCCTTGAGCGAGGCGATGTGGGCCTTTATCGACTCGAGGTGCTGCTGGGCTCGTGTGCGGTGCTGAAAGCTCACCACCTAGTCGCGGAGGATTGCCTGGAGGCCCTGGAAGGCCTTGTGCACCTCGTGTGCGCGCATGGCGGTGCGTGCACGCTCTCCTGGCGGAAAGGAGGCTGGTGTGCTAGGTAGCGGTAGGTTAGGAGGCCTGTTCCTCATGGAGCTGTGCGCGCAGACGGGTTGGGTCCGAGTGGGGCCAAGAGGCTTGGTCTGGCTGACCATGCTACTGATGCGCTGGCCCTAATGTGGCTCCATTACCATCAAGGTATACAATTATATGGTCCCTGTGCCAAGCGGTAGGTCAGGAGGCCTGTTCCTCATGGAGCTGTGCGCGCAGACGGGTTGGGTCCGAGTGGGGCCAAGAGGCTTGGTCTGGCTGACAATGCTACTGATGCGCTGGCCCAAATCTGGCTCCATTTACCATCAAGGTATACTATTGTATGGTCCCTGTGCCAAGCGGTAGGTCAGTAGCCCTGTTCCTCATGGAGCTGTGCGCGCAGACGGGTTGGGTCCGAGTGGGGCCAAGAGGCTTGGTCTGGCTGACAATGCTACTGATGCGCTGGCCCAAATCTGGCTCCATTTACCATCAAGGTATACTATTGTATGGTCCCTGTGCCAAGCGGTAGGTCAGTAGCCCTGTTCCTCATGGAGCTGTGCGCGCAGACGGGTTGGGTCCGAGTGGGGACCAGAGGCTTGGTCTGGCTGACAATGCTACTGATGCGCTGGCCCAAATCTGGCTCCATTACCATCAAGGTGTACTATTATATGGTCCCTGTGCCAAGCAGTAGGTCAGTAGCCCTGTTCCTCATGGAGCTGTGCGCGCAGACGGGTTGGGTCTGAGTGGGGCCAAGAGGCTTGGTCTGGCTGACAATGCTACTGATGCGCTGGCCCACATCTGGCTCCATTACCATCAAGGTATACTGCTGTATGGTCCCTGTGCCAAGCAGTAGGTCAGTAGCCCTGTTCCTCATGGAGCTGTGCGCGCAGACGGGTTGGGTCCGAGTGGGGCCAAGAGGCTTCGTCTGGCTGACAATGCTACTGATGCGCTGGCCCAAATCTGGCTCCATTACCATCAAGGTGTACTATTATATGGTCCCTGTGCCAAGCAGTAGGTTAGTAGCCCTGTTCCTCATGGAGCTGTGCGCGCAGACGGGTTGGGCTCGAGGGGGGCCAACAGGCTTGGTCTGGCTGACAATGCTACTGATGCGCTGGCCCTAATGTGGCTCCATTACCATCAAGGTGTACTATTATATGGTCCCTGTGCCAAGCAGTAGGTCAGTAGCCCTG